ATAAGATAATTTACATACGATGCATTTGCTCATCCTATTTGTTGGATAAATTAGTTATTTGGGCTGTTTTTCTGCGTAACCAGGATTATTCGGTTGTCTCTCCATTGGGAAAAGAAAGTTAAATCCTTACCTCACGTCATTCAAAAAAATTTCAGAAGGTTCAAGCAACTAAACATCTAAAACAATACTGTAAAGTATGAGATCTTACAGGAAAGTGTGTTTATGAGATTAAGGTGAGGAAAAGCATTTAAAAATTGATTTCTTGGACTTTATCAAAATCCAAGACTTCAGGCACTGTGTAAGCAAAGTGAAGAGAAAAGGGACAGGCCACGAGAAAATATCTGCCACAGGCAGAGTAACAGGCAAAGGGTCAATATCCAGAATAAAGAATTCCTGTAAATCAATAAGTAAAAGCTATAAAAAGAAACAAATAGAATAATGCAGGGAGAGTACAAATGGGCAATTCACAGAAGGGAAGATAAAACTGTCCAGCAAACATGTATATTTCCTCCGTCTCCCTAGGAAATGAAGTAAGACTCTAAAGGGAGACTATTTTCCCCCCATCTATGGCTTTGTCAAAAGTTTAAAATTTGGGGGCTTCCTTGGTGGCACAGTGGTTAAGCGGATACCTGCTAATGCAGAGGACACGGGTTTGAGCCTTGGTCCGGGAAGATCCCACATGCCGTGGAGCAGCTAAGCCCGTGCGCCACAACTACTGAGCCTGCGCTCCAGAGCCCGCAAGCCACAACTACTGAGCCCACGTGCCTAGAGCCCATGCTCCACAACAAGAGAAGCCACGACAATGAGAAGCCCGCACACCGCAACGAAGCCCCCACTTGCCCTAACTAGAGAAAGCCCGTGCGCAGCAACGAAGACCCAACGCAGCCAAAAAAAAAGTTTAAAATTTTGATGAAGCCTCCAGGAGAGGCAGTGGTCATTGCATTGTAAAGATGAATAAACAATAATAATAGCAGGTAATAGCTATTAAGCAGTGTATATGCGTTACTTACTTTTTACCTTCAAAGCAATACTGGCTGCTCTGTTTAATCCTCTCTGCTCAGTTGTTTCCGCCAGGAGATTGTGACCTTGCTCAACTGATCCTCCTCAATGCTCAGCACAGGCCTGGCACAAAGTTCCGGCTGAGAAATGGTTTGAAAAAAGTCATTTCCATTCGAGCACTTTATGGGTGGCAAATATTCACGGGGTCTCCCGGGGTGGTGATGTGTCACCTCAGCTTTGGAGTACAGGCAGGATGTCTAGAAGCCCACACAGAAGGGCAAGGACGAGCCAGGAAGAGGAAAAAACCTTTTTGTTCCTTCATTCATTAGGTACTCACTGTGTATGAAAGCTCACAACGACTCTAGGAGGAAGTTGCTGTTATCATCACCACCCTCGTTTTATTTTATATTTTAATAAATTTATGTATTTATTTATTTAATTTTGTCTGCGTTGGGTCTTTGTTGCCATGCGCGGGCTTCTCATTGCGGTGGCTTCTCTTGTTGCAGAGCACGGGCTGTAAGTGCGCGGACTTCAGTAGTTGTGACACACGGGCTCAGTAGTTGTGGTGCACGGGCTTAGTTGCTCCGCAGCATGTGGGATCTTCCCGGCCCAGGGCTCGAACCCGTGTCCACTGCATTTGGCAGGCGGATTCTTAACCACTGTGCCACCAGGGAAGTCCCACCCTCATTTAATTTTATGTTTTTAATTAATTAATTTATTTATTTATTATTTTTGGCCACACCGCTGAGCTTGTCGAATCTCAATTCCCCAACCAGGGATAGAACCTGTGCCCCCTTCAGTGAAAGCACAGAGTCCTAACCACTGGACCGCCAGGGAATTCCCAGCACCCTCATTTTACAGCTGAGCACACTGAAGCTCAGAGAGGTTAAAGTGACCTGTCAAAGTCACACAGCTAATGCATGGCAGAGCGGAAATTCACGCCATGCACTCGCACCCACACCTTGCTCTTAACCACTCTGCTGTGATGGCTGCAATTAGCATCTTATTAACACCAACCCTTCTTTCCCCACCTTCGAGATTACTCTCTCATTCTAGCACCCCAACTAGGACTTACCCCTCTTTTTCCTTTAAATCACCTCCCTTCTTTTCTAGCAAAGAAAAGGGGTCCTTGAGGACCCTCTGCTAAGTGAAATAAATCGGTCACAAAAATACTGTGTGATTCTAGTTATACAAGGCGCCTACAGTAGGCAAATTCAGAGAGTCAGAAAGTAGTCTGGGGAGTTCCCTGGTAGTCCAGTGGTTAGAGCTCTGTGCTCTCCCTGCTGAGGGCCTGGGTACAATCCCTGGTTGGGGAACTAAGATCCCATAAGTATGGTGGTGGCCAGGGGTTGGGGGAGGAGCAGTGGGGGGGATCCTGCATTTAATGGGGACAGAGTGTGATACACAGAGTTCTAGAGATGGATGGTGGTGATGAGTGCATAACAATGTGAATGTATACTTTAAAATGGTTAAGATGGCAAAATTTCTTGTTATGTGTACTTTACATTTTTTTTTTTTTTTTTTTTTTGGCCGTGCGACATGTGGGATGTTAGTTCACTGACCAGGGATTGAACCCGTGCTCCCTGAAGTGGAAGTGCAGCGTCTTAACCACTGGGCCGCCAGGGAATTCCCTACTCTTTTTTTTTTTCTTTAAGATTTTTTGACATGGCCCACTTTTAAAGTCTTTATTGAATTTATTACAATATTGCTTCTGTTTTATGTTTTGATTTTTTGGCCACAAGGCATGTGGGATCTTAGCTCCCTGACCTGGGATCAAACCCACAACCCCTGCATTGGAAGGCAAAGTCTTAACCACTGGACCACCAGGAAAGTCCCTACTCACTCAACTTTTTTAAAAAGAAATTTTAAAGGGTGCTGAAGAGGGGGAATTCTCTCCCTGGGTTTCAGTGTTCTGTAGTCCTGGGTGTGTTAAACCTGCCTCCTGGGCTGACCTGATAATGCGCGAGTGCAGGGACTGTGGTGGTGGAGGGTTAGAGACAAAGAAAGGAAGCTGGCCTCTGCCCCGCATGGGATGCCTTGAAAGCGTCTTGACCAGCGAAAGTCTTGTGGAGGATGAAGCTGGGGGGTTAGACTGGAGACTGGGGTTAGGGGACAGGATCGGGGTGGGGGTTCAGGTGTGGAGTGGACCACAGGGGGCAGAAGCAGAGAAGGGACAGAGCAGGTGGGCTCAGGGATTGATCAATTGGATGTGAGGGTGAGGAAGGGGTCAAGTTACCAATGAAGCCTGCAGAGACTGATGAGGAAGATAGTGGAGCGGGAGTCTCAGGGGACAGGGCGTGCTGGGGGGAGCGGGCAGAGGTGTCTGGGGAATGTGTTTAAATTTGGGTTTCAGGGGCCTGTGAGCCAGCCCTCTCTGTAAGGAAGACCTACGTGATGATTGGTGAGGCAGAAGAAAAGAAGATATTCTGCATATTTGTAATTTATATGTTAAGTTCTACTATGAAAAAGCTTCATATCTACTCATGGGTACAAGTACAGCACTGCCTGCCACTCTCTCTCCATTTTTGGGCTCAACAATCATCATTTGCATGTTTGCTCTGATCCCCTTTTGTCTCTTTATCTCTTTACAGAAGAATTTTAAAGCAAATCTCAGCCATCCCGTCAATACACCCCTGCATACTACAAAAACATCTCTAAAAAATAATAAGACAGACATTTTCTCACCTATTCATAAGGCCACTTCCACATTCAACAAAAACGTTGAGAAATCCTTGATATTATCAAACACCCAGTCCATAATCAAATTTCCTTGAGTGTCTAAAAAATAATTTTTTTCTTCCCAGCAGGTTTCCTTGAGTCTAACTCCAAACATGGTCCCCACATACATTCGATTGTTGAGTCACTAACTTCCCTTTAAATCTAGAGTATGTGCTCTGTGGTTTTAAAATCTGATAAAAGTTTCTGGTTGCATAAACCTAAGCAAGGAAGACCACACTTACAAAAGCTTTTTCATTCACACCAGGAGACCATACTCCTTAAAAAAAAATACTATTCACGAGGACAGTCAGTGGGTTATATCATGCAACATGGGTAATACATACAGTGTCCTAGAACAAGAACATGAAACCAGCTTTAGAGTCTCAAGGTAAATGGTTATACGTCAAGTTATTTTAGTTCAGATAGCTTCCAGCCTCTGAACTAAACTAGGCAAACAGCCTCCTGAATTTCAAGTTGACAAGATATAGAATGAGAATATTAAAGAATATTTAATTTTTTAAAAATAAATTTATCTATTTATTTATTTTTGGCTGCCTTGGGTCTTCATTACTGCACGCAGGCTTTCTCTGGTTGCAGCGAGCGGGGGCTACTCTTCGTTGCGGTGCGCGGGCTTCTAATTGCGGTGGCTTCTCGATGCAGAGCACGGGCTTTAGGCGTGCTGGCTTTGGTAGTTGTGGCACGCAGGCTCAGTAGTTGTGGCTCGCAGGCTCTAGAGCACAGGCTCAGTAGTTGTGGTGCACGGGCTTAGTTTCTCTACGGCACGTGGGATCTTCCTGAACAAGGGCTCGAACTCGTATCCCCTGCATTGACAGGCGGATTCTTAACCACTGCACCACCAGGGAAGCCCTAAAGAATATTTAATTTTAAATTGGATTTTTTAACCCTTATTTGGCAAATCCTTCTCCTCCTCCTTCTTCTTCTTAATGACAGCAGAGGAGAAAGTCATGCTATAGGGGGCTGGAGGGAAGAGTAGGGTCCTTCTCTCTGTAGCTACAGGGATTATGGGGGTAACTCTCTTTTCCTAAAAACTTCTAGCTCTGTGCTTTGGGTTGTGGAATGTGTGTATGTGTGTGCATGTGTGTGTGCGTGCTGTCATTTGGCATGCTGTCTGTCTCTCTCCCCCCACTAGAACGTAAGCCCCAAGAGGGAAAGGAGCTTTGCTTCCCTCACTGCTGTATCTCTGGCACCTAGGAATCATGCCTGACACAGGCATGGTACTCTGTAAGTATGTGTTGAGTGACTAAATGTCTGTCTGTCCTCAGATTCTGAATCCTGTTCCCTGGGAAACCCAACAGAACCCTGGACTGGGGAGAGGAGGAGAAGCCTGCCTTTAAAATTGAGCCTCCTGGAGAGATGCAGTCTCAGGCCTGAGAAGATGCAGGGGCTGCTGTCTCAGGAGGGCAGGGCCTGGGAGAAGCGTGCTTCCCTCACCAAGGACTGCGTGGCTGTGGAGGTTGGGGCCTCTGGCTGTGACAGTGACAAGAAAGGTGAGGGGCAGGGGTCCTGTGGAGGGGGGGAGGTCATGGCAGAGCCTAGGGAAAGACACGACTTCGCTCCTTTGCTCCTTTCAACACAGTTTTATGGAGCCTTATGTCAGTCAGCTTTTGCTGTGTAACAAGTCAGCCCCAAACTGAGTGGCTTAAAGCAACAGTCATTTAGCTGCTAACAAAGGGAAAGACACGACTTCATTCCTTTGCTCCTTTCAACACAGTTTTATGGAGCCTTATGTCAGTCAGCTTTTGCTGTGTAACAAGTCAGCCCCAAACTGAGTGGCTTAAAGCAACAGTCATTTAGCTGCTAACAATTCTGTGGGTTGGCAATGTATGTGGCCTCAGGGGACAGTTCTGTTGCCCTTGCTTGTGTCGGCTCCCGCAGGGCAGCTGCAGTGAGCTGAAGGGCAGCTTGTTCATCTAAGATGGCTTTACTGGTGTGTCTAGCTGGTTTGATGGTGCTGACTTAAAGCCATGTGTCTCCAGCAGGCTAGCCCAGGCTTATTCCCACGGGGGTGGTTGCAGAGTTCTTGGGACCAGCAAGCAAGGGAAAACCCCAGGTCACAAGCACTTTTTTAGCCTCTACTGGCAACCCAGCTGCTCACGGGCCATTGGTCGAAATAAGCCGTATGGTCAAGCTCAGAATCAGTGGGGCAGAGTGGGGAGGGCAGCCCAAGGGTGTGGACACAGGGAGCAGTGAACAAGCTGGAGGCCACTGGGGGCAAAAATCTATCACAAGCACCTACTATGTGCCAGGCGTTAGGGTCTTGCCGTGAAAAAGATGGCTTTGTAGAGCTCCGATTCTTTTTTTCTTTTAGTATTTATTTATTTATTTCTGGCTGCATCGGGTCCTAGTTGCATCATGTGCCATCTTTCATTGTGGTGCATGCGGGCTTCTCTCTAGTTGTGGCACGGGGGCTCAGTAGTTGCGGCACACGGGCTTAGTTGCCCTGCGGCATGTGGGATCTTAGTTCCCTGACCGGAGATCGAACCTGCGTCCCCTGCATTGGAAGGTGGATTCTTAACCACTGGACCACCAGAGAAGTCCCAAGCTCCAATTCTAGAGGAGAAAACAGGCACTAAAGAAAGAAGTTACAAAATAAAGAGAAAGGTCATGTCTGACGAGACGTATGGAGACAGTAAAACAGGATGATTGGTGGGGTGTGACAGTGTGATTGGGGAAGGTGGGAGAAGCACAAGAAGGATCAGTTGTTCCAAGGATGAGGGAACAGCTTCAAGGGCAGCCAGAGCTGCACGTGCAAAGACCCCACATTGGCAGCAAGTTTGCTGTGTTCAAGGGGACCACGGGGAACAGAGCAGGGAGATGGGAGGGAAAAATGATAAAGATCAGCTGGGACCAGTGATGGGGCATCTTGTCGACCTTAGCAAGGAGTTTGCCTGTTACTTGAGTATTGGGAGAGCACTGGAAGGTTTTGAAGAGGAGAAGACAGGATCTCATTTGTATTTCAAAAGATTATTCTAAATCAGTAGTTCTCAACTGGGGGCAATGTACCCCACTGTCCTCCCCAGGCAACATTAGAGATCTTGAATTATCAGAACTGGGGAAATGCTTCTTCCATCTAGTGGGTGGAGGCCAGCAACGCTGCTTAGTGTCCTACAGTGCACAGAACAGACCCCCCCCCACCACCACAGGGATTTCGCAGCCTGAAATGCCAGCAGTGCCCAGGTTGAGAAACTCTGTGTCCAGCTGCGTGTGAGAATGAACCGTAGGATTAGGAGGTCAAGAGTAGAAGCTGGAAGGCCAGTTGGGAGATTCCTGTAACTGTCCAGGAGTGGACAGGGGAGGAACAAAGAGATATCAAGGGTGACCCCTGGGATTTTGGCCCAAACATCTGGCGAAGAGTGGTGCCATTTGCTGAGATGGGGACACCTGAAAGGCACCCCCACAGGAGAATGGGGGCTGGACCTTCTACTAGGAAAGGGTCCTTCCTTCCACAGGAGATGAGCAGATCTGGGACAGAAGTTGTGGGAAATAGAAATGTCAGTTCTGGCAGTGAGGAGGAAGTTTGGGGCTCCCGGCAGGACCTGGGTGCAGAAAGAGTGGAAAATGGCCATCTCTGGTTCAACCCCCAGTTCTATCCAGTTGAGGAGTGAGAAGGATGTTGAGGTTCGAATATGGGGAGATTTCTTCACTGGAGGCTGGAACCTGGGGAAGCCTTGTTCCTCCTGGTTTAACTCTGTGGCTTTTTCTTCTGCTTTCTCACTCAGTTTTTGCCAGAGGCCTATAGAGAAGGAACTACTGTACCCATCTGACAGGTGAGGGAATAGAGGCTCAGGTGGTGGATCACATCAGGTGACTCGCTTTAAGTCTCCCAGGTAGTTACTGACAGAAATGGGATCAGAACTCAGGTCTCTCCTTCTCTCCACCCCACCTGAACCACATGGGCAGTGTGTGTGTGTGTGTGTGTGTGTGTGTGTTTTAGGATATCAGCAGAAGAGAGTTGGCAGACAGGAAGAAAGCAGAACCCATCCAGCTGGTCTGGCCACTCACTCGTGACTCCTTTCTCCTCCATTCCTCCCCTCACCCAGACCTACCTTCTCCCGAGACTGGGCATCCCCAGGAGTGGAGCTCGGTGGAGGAAGACGATGAGTCAGAGGACTCCCAGGTAAGCTGGCGATTCCTTCCTTTTTTGCTGATGCCCCACTCTGCAGATCTCAGTGGGTTGTCGCACTCCCTCAGCTTGGGATTTCCCTGCCCCACAAAAGTCTGTTTGGGGATGTGAGCCCCAAGAGGTCTCCCATGGGAAACAGGACATATTCCATGGTAGTCAGACATCGAGTGGAGGGTCTCAGGTGGTGGGGGTAACTCCACTCATATGTACCCTCCAACCCTTCACTCAAATCCTTCATAAATTAACCATTCATTCATCTGTCCTCTCATTTATTCACCCAAGCATCCATCTGTCTACTCACCCATATACCCATCCATCCATCCATCCATCCATGTGAGGTCATCTGTCTATTGACTTATTCATCCATCCATTGACCCTCCCAACTACTCACCCTTCTACCTATCCATTCATCCATCTACACATTGAACATCCACCATCCATTCATCTGTCCTCTGATTCATCCACCCAGCCTTTCATTTACCTACTCATCCACCCACCCATTCCATCCATCCATATATCCAGTTATCTATATACCCAGTCATCTGCCCATTCATCCATATGCAACCACTCCATCCATTCAACCCACCCACTCATCCATCCATCTATCCACTCATCTATCTACCCACGCATTCATCTATCTACTACCTGTTGGCTGTTGGAAGGATGTGGCTACTATTCATCCACCCATATGCCTACTCATCCATCCATCCATCCATCCATCCAACCATCCAACCACTAAATACCTACTGGGTTTTAATCCAAGTACTGCGAATAAAACCAAAAAGAGTTATCAAGAACATTCCTTTCACTGAAATACCTAGTGTTTTCTGTGGGGGGCATAAGACATCAACATGTGAAATAATAACAGTGGTTCTTTTATTTACATATTTATCTTATACATTAGGAAAAAACCACATAACCACTCTTGGCAACACATGAGGGTCCCATCTGCCAATCATATATCAGAAATCCAACTTGGACTGGCTCGAGCCAGGAAAAGGTTTATTGACACAAGGTGGGGGGAGGCAAGCTGAACAACCAACCATGATAGTGTAGAAATAAGTGCTGGCTGCACGTGAGATAGCTCAATGGAAGAAGAAAGTAACTCTGTGGGCCAGGAGGTTTATTCTTGAATACCCAAGAGACACCACACCTGGGATTTTAGGGATGAGTAATTTCCCAGGCAGAGCAGGGGAGGAAACAGCATGTGCAATGACGGAGGCATGATGTAATAAGGCACATTTGGGGGAACACTGGAGTTAGGGGCATAGCAGGGACTGGGATGAGATCATTCATTCAGTCCACAACTATTTGTTGTGCACCTACTATGTGCCAGGCAGTGTTCAAGGCAATGAGGGTGCAACAGTGAATGGGAGAGCGATGGCTCCTCTTTTCGTGGGCTCACAGTCACCCAGGTAGACAGACAACCGGCAAAATGAGTAGCTAACCTATACTTCATGCTGGATGGTAATAAGTGCTATGGAGAAAAATTAAGCAGAGTTATGGGCGTACGAGGCGAGGGTAAATGTTGCTATTTTAAGAAGATTGTCAAGGAAGTACCCCTGAGAGGGAGCTATTGGAGTACAGACCTGAAGGAGGTGGGGAGTGAGACTGGCAGATATATCTGGTGGGGAGAGGTTCTGGGCAGAGAGGGTACAGCAAGTACAAAGGCCCTGAGGTAGGAGTGCATCTGGCATGTGTGAGGAACAGCGGGGCTGGGGGGTGTTGGTTGGCTGGGGAAGAGTGGAAGGGAATAGTAGAATGTGAGGTCATGGTGGTGATGGGGGTGTATGACGTAGGGTATTGTCAACCACGCTAAAATGTTGGCTTTCACTCTGAGTTGGGTGGCTACTGTAAGGCAGAGAAGGTTCCAGCTTACGTTTCACAGGACCCTCTCGCTGCTGAGTTCCACGCCAAGGAGGTTGGGTGTATCTTTTTTTTTTTAATTTTAAAGAAGTGTTTTTATTTTTATTTATTTATTTATTTGGCCGCGCAGCATGTGGGATCTTAGTTCCCCAACCAGGGATGGAACCCTCTGCAGTGGAAGCGCAGAGTCTTAACCACTGGACCGCCAGGGAAGTCCCCAGGTGTATCTTGTAGGCAGTGGGGAGCCTCTGGGGATTTGGGGGTCTACAGAAATCACTCTGTTGGCCTCTGTGGAAGGAAGGGAGATTGGATGAGGCAGAGGGAGAGGCAGAGGTGTAGGAACCAGTCAGGAACCTCCAGCTGGTTGGAAGTGATCCAGGTAAGACACGCACTGATGTCACACGTATTATGGGACTGACATGATTCTAAGTGGTTCTTGTTATTTTATTTTACATTTTAAAAAAAATATTTTTATTGGAGTAGAGTTGATTTACAATGTTGTGTTAGTTTCAGGTGTACAGCAGAGTGAATTGGTTATACATGTACATATTTTCATTCTTTTTTAGATTCTTTCCCCATATAGGTTATTACAGAATATTGAGTTCCCTGTGCTAGACTGTGGGTCTTTATTAGTTATCTATTTTGTATACAGTATAGTGTGTATGTTAATCCCCAACTCCTAATTTATCCCTCCCCTCCCCTTTCCCCTTTGGTAACCATAAGTTTGTTTTCTACATCTGTGACTCTATTTCTGTTTTGTAAATAAGTTTATTTTCATCATTTTTTTAGATTCCACATATAAGCGATATCATATGATATTTGTCTTTCTCTGTCTGACTTACTTCACTTAGTATGATCATCTCCAGGTCCATCCATGTTGCTGCAAATGGCATTATTTCATTCTTTTTTATGGCTGAGCAATATTCCATTGTATATATGTACCACATCTTCTTTATCCATTCCTCTGTTGATGGACATTTAGGTTGCTTCCATGTCTTGGGTGGTTCTTGTTATTAACTCGACACTCACTAGCTCTCATTATTAATTCATGAGCCCTGTGAAATAGTTAGTATGGTTTCCCTCCCTTTAAGATGAAGCTAGGGTGGGGGAGGTGCCCAGAGACCTCTGTGACATCATTCATTCATTCACTCATTCACTCCGTCATGGCTCATTCAACCAACATTAATGGAGCACAGGCTGGGGCCCGGCAGGGGTGGGCGGTGGGTCCTGACCCAGCTGAGCTTTCTGCATGGACTCAGCCTCCTTCCTATAGGTGGCCCCCTTCCAAAAAAAAAAGAGAAGATCAGGCCATATGGGACCAGAGACCTTTAATATCAATAAGAGGCAGGCTCCACAGCCCTCACCATGGGGCTAACTCAATTTATTTGATTCTCTTAATAGTTCTTGATGTGGGATCCGTTACGATTGTATTTTACAGACAGGGAAACTAAGGCACAGAGAGGTCAAGTACACTTTCCGGAGCACCCAGCTTGTAAGTGGTAGGGGTGGGATTTGAATCCAGTGCCTTTCTTAACCACTAAAGTATCCTGTCTGTCTGGGGACTTTATCCTCCCCCAAGAGAGGACTGGGGATAAGGGGTGAGGGTTTCTCCCCATCCCACTACTCAGTTATGTCCCTCCACCCCTCAGGTGGGGAGGAGTGAGTGAAGGACTGGAGGGGAGGAAAGGAGTTACTTTCCTAATATTTCTTTTTTTTTTAAATTTATTTTACTTATTTTATTTTTGGCTGCATTGGGTCTTCGTTGCTGTGCGTGGGCTTTCTCTAGTTGAGGCGAGCGGGGACTGCTCTTCGTTGTGGTGCGCGGGCTTCTCATTGCGGTGGCTTCTCTTGTTGCGGAGCACGGGCTCTAGGCGCGCAGGCTTCAGTAGTTGTGGTACGTGGGGTCTAGAGTGCAGGTTCAGTAGTTGTGGCGCACAGGCTCAGTAGTTGTGGCGCATAGGCTTAGTTGCTCTGTGGCATGTGGGATCTTCCCGGACCAGGGCTCGAACCCATGTCCCCTGCATTGGCAGACAGACTCCCAACCACTGCCCCACCCAGGGAAGCACTCTGATATTTCTTTGGTTTTTTTTAAGATTTTTTTTTTTGATGTGGACCATTTTTAAAGTCTGTATTGAATTTGTTACAATACTGCCTCTGTTCTATGCCTTGGCTTCCTGGCTGAAAAGCATGTGGTATCCCAGGTCCCCGACCAGGGTTAGAACCCACACCCCCTGCATTGGAAGGTGAAATCCTAACCAATGGACCACCAGGGAAGTCCCCTGACATTTCTAAGAGGCAGAAATTCCCACTCTGTGGCCCCGGACGTAGGAAAGCAGGGAGGAAAAAATAGTCCCATCACTCCCATACCATAAAATACAAGCATGTGTCACAAATGCAAACCTTCTCAGAGTATGAGATAAGGAAAGAAATAGACTTCGTAAAAGTTGCTATAAAATCAAAACTCATCTACAACATTAGAAATCCAGATACTGGTTCCCTTCGAGGTGGGGTAAATGAGGGAGGAAGGGAGCATGAGGGGGGACATTTTGGGGTGCTGATAATGATCTGCTTCTTATTCTGGGTGCCAGTTACACGATTCACCTTCCGGAGATTCATCACGCTTGTAGGATACATGCAATTTTCTCTTTGCATATTATACTTCAACAGAATGTTTTTAGAAGGTTGTCCCATTTCCTTGCAGGCATTTTTTTCCTGGAAGTTGAGACTGAACTAGGATTCTTGTGCAAGGGGTTTATTAAGGAAGTGTGTTCTTGGGTGGAACCTGTAAGGGGTGAGGGAGGCTGGGAAGGAGGAGAGGGAGTGAGGCAAATATTATATGGGTTTAACTGAGGTCCGGCTTCAGTCTGATCCCACAGGGAGCTCTGGAGTGTGAATAGTACCAGTCCTTCTCTGAGCCAGTGGGGAGGCTTTTATGTCCCATCGCTGGCTGTGGACAGCTCTCTGGGGTGAGTGTAACCTTCTAGGTAACTCTCTAGAGAGGTGGCTCCTCTTAGCAAAGGGCATTTCTCAGGAGAAAGGGGGCAACCATAAATATAAACCATAAACCATCAAGTTAGCAGCCAACACTCACAGCAGCTGGAGGAGAAACAAAGAGGAACTAAGTGAGGCACTGACGGGTCCATTACGTGTGGTGTCGTGTGCTTGTGTGTACGTGTAAAATTTTTGGATTTCAGATGAGCCATATTAACTACATTTTCTTCTTTTTTTAAACTTTTTTTTTTTTACATTTTCCTGAATTTATACTCTGCTTTTTAAAAATGGAGGCATACCTGGGACTTCCTTGGTGGTCCAGTGTTTAAGACACTGTTCTTCCACTGCAGGGGGCACGGGTTAGATCCCTGGTCGGGGAAATTGAGATCCCGCATGCCGCGCAGCACAGCCTAAAAAAAAAAAAAAAAAAAATGGAGGCATAAGTATTTCCAATAAAATGCACATGTCAGTAAGTGTCGACACACATATATGCTTGTGTAACCAACCTGCCATCATCCTAGAAAATGCCTTCATCTTCCTTTCCAGTCTGACTCACTCCCTCATCCCAGTTCTGATTTCTGGTCGCATAGATTCGTTTTGCCTTCATATAGAGTCCTACAGTAAATGACATATATTTCTTAACCCCCGAAAAAGGGAAATTATAGCAAGGTTATTATTCTGCCATTTGGTGTTTTCACAACAATATCGTCTGGATAACTTTCCATCCTGATCACTTTCATCCTTTTTAAAAATTACGTTTTACAGCTACCGAATATTCTATACTGCAGTTGTGTCAAGCCCGTTTCCTCAACAGTTGAATTGTTAGGTTATCCTTGTTTTTGTTGCCACAGGAGAATGTATGTTTATCCAGTTGGCTTCATTTTCTGTAGCGTGGATTATTAGGGACTTCATAAGATCTCTGAATGTAGATCCACTGAATCCGAAATTCCCATGGTGGAGCCCAAAATACGTGAAAACTCCCCCAAGAGGTTTCTGATGCTCTGCCAGGTTTGGGACCTGCTGACGTGGGTTATTCTCTCCAGGTTGTAAAAGGAAGGTTTGAAATGAGGTGGCATCCAATGGGGGAGAGCAAGCTAGAGGGAGGAACTGGTCCTTTCCTGAAGATTAGAGATGTGAATCCCATTAATGGTTTATAACATGATTTAACATCTCATAGTACGTGTCCTCTTCATTTCTCTCCTTTTACAGAATGTTTTATGTTCACCACTGCCTAGCTTTCCAGATAACTCATTCATGCCCATTCCCCAAACTTCCCAGATATTTTAATAGCAATTGCATTTAACTCATCGTTATTTTGCAGAAGAATTGTCCCGTTTTAAACATTTTGTCTTCCCATCCTTCGTTGTGGTATGTTTTTTTTTTTTTTTTTTTGGCCGTGCCACGCAGCATGCGGGATCTTAGTACAGGGATCAAACCCGTGCCCCCTGCAGTGGAAGCACAGAGTCCTAACCACTGGACCGCCAGGGAAGTCCCTGTCTTTCCATTCATTCATTCATTTGAGAAATATTTATAAACTTGGACTCTGGGTCAGGCACTGAAGATAGAGCCACGAGCAAACTAAAATCTCTGCCCTCTCTGGACACGGGAGAAAGAGAGCTGGAGAGGGCAGATGGGTGGTCTACCGTGGGGAGGTATTGGGGGATGCTGTTCTATACAGAGTGGTGTGGGTGTGGGTTTCTAAAGATGTGGTGGGAAATGTGGAGCTGGAAGATGTGGCGGAGATATCCAGGCAGGAGAAAGCATAACTGCAAAGGCTTGGAGGTGAGAGTGGCTGGGGCAGAGTGACTTTAGCTTTGGAGGGATCGCTCTGGCTGACACATACAGAAGAAACTGGGGGTGAGGGGAGTGTCAGGATAAGAAACAAGAGTGCTCAGTTTTTAACCCAATTGTTCGGAGGTTTTTTTGTTTTGTTTTGTTTTTTGGTATTGAGTTGCATGAGTTCTTCATATGTTTTGGATATTAACCTTTTGTCAGATGTATGATTTATAAATATTTTCTCCCATTCAATAGTTTGCCCTTTTGTTGATAGTTTCCTTTGCTGTGCAGAGCATTTTGTTTGATGTAGTCCCACTTGTTTATTTTTGTTTTTGTTGCTTGTGCTTCTGTTGTCATATAAAAAAAAATCATTGCCAAGACCAATATGAAGGAACCATTGCCTTATGTTTCTTCCATGAGTTTTGTGGTTTTAAGTTTTACATTCAAGTCTTTAGTCCATGTTGAGTTAATATGGCGGTATGGTGTAAGATAGTGGTACAGTTTCCCATAAAATAAACTCTGAAATTGAATTAAAACAAAGAAAGAAACAAGAGTGATGGTGACTTTGACCAGTGTGGTGATACTGGGGGGAGTGGATGGAAGTGGTCAGCGTCTGGATATATTTGGAATGTGAAGCCAATAGCACTGGCTGGTGGGTTGGCGGTGGGTATTGAGAGACAGCAGTCAAGGGTGCCACAGTTGGATGCCTGGAGGGACCTGAGGGGTAGACTGGGGGAAAACTGCAAGAGGAGCTTTTTTTGGGCCACTGGGGAGGGATATTAGGATATTTGGGAAATGTAAAGTTTAAGATGCCCATGAGATATTCAAGCAGAGATGGCAGGTATACAGTGAGATTTATGTCAGGAATTTAAGAGAGGGTTTGGGTCAAGAAACACACACACACACACACACACACACACACACACACACACACACACACACACACACACACACACACACACACACACACACACACACACACACACACACACACACACACACGTACATGTGAAGATCATTAGAGTACAGGTGGTATTTGAAACTGTGAGAATTTATATATCATTTTGAAATTTTCACCACATGTATCACCATTCTGATATTTCATCTGCTAGGACATAGGTATAGTACTTACTATTGTATATTTATATCTGGTCACTTTGTTGTATATTTTTTATTTGTTTTTATTGAGGTATAGTTAATTTACAATGTTGTGTTAGTTTCAAGTGTACAGCAAAGTGATTAGTTATAGATATACATTAATTTTCTTTTTCAGATTCTTTTCCATTATAGGTTATTATGAGATATTGAGGATAGTTCCCTGTGCTATAGTTTGTAGTTTTTAATTCAAACACTTTATAGCTGATACACTGTCTCATTCCCAATCCTGTAATCCCATTTTCTTGCACGTGACAATGGTGGCTCCCCCTCTGATATTTATAGTTTTTCTTTCTTTCTTTTTCTTTCTTTCTTTCTTTCTTTCTTTCTTTCTTTCTTTCTTTCTTTGTGTGTGTGTGTGTGTGTGTGTGTGTGTGTGTGTGTGTGTTTCAGGGCTTTGTGGGCTGATCAAAAGCTCCGCAACAAATGACCATAGTCTTGGTAGTGTGTGTGCTTTATTTGTTCCTGGTTTTAACAGGGATGCCTATGATGTTTCACATTTAACTATAAAAGTGGCTATTGTTTAGAAATAGATGCCCTGTGTCATGTTAAGGAAGAGCCCTGATTAAAAATCAGGAATAGGTCTTGAATATTATCAAATGCCTTTTAAACATCCATTGAGATGATTTTTCTTTTGTATTTAACCTTTTTGTGTGAGGTTTTGAATTACTGTATTTCACTGACCTTAAGACATCATCGATTGTAAAACACGCATTATTTTATATACCCCTGAGAAATAAAAAAAAATGCTACTTAAATGTAAGATGCCACCAAGTGGAAGATGCATCCTGACTTCAGAGAAGGTGAAGATGTGCAACTTAGGAGTGATAAAATCTGGTAGATTTCTTAATTACAAATCATCTTTGCATTCTTAGGATGGTGGTACAGCAGTCTTTTCAGATATTGAATTCTATTTCTTGATATTTTCTGTAGGATTCTTGCCTCTATCTTCTTATATAAGACTGGTGCTATCTTTGTTAAGTTTTGGTATCATGGCTAAGCTTGCATCATAGAAGGACTTGAGTAAAGTTTAACCTTTTGCTGTGCTTTCGAATACTTTCTGTAGCTTGAGAAGTATCAATTCCTTGACATTTTGAAAGAATTCACCAGTAAAGTAATCAGGTCCTAGAGCTATGGAGGGGAAGTTTCAGTGAGTTCTTGGATGGCTTTCTCCATTTCTTCTCATGTTATCAGCTTATGAATACTTTTTACTCCATTAATTTTTATGATTTACAGTGTTCTTTTATCCCCTAGGCTATGCTTCATTCCACTAAGCTTTCCCCCCGCCCCAGATGATTAGCTTATTTGTGCACAGTATTTTATAATTAAACAAAATCTTCTCTTTATTTTGTTCTGTCCCCTTTCTGCCTTTCAACTTCTGTTTGTGGTTATTAGATTTGTCAAAGTTTTATCTAGTTTATTATTAATTTTCTGAAGAACCATCATTAGGATTTATTTATGTCCATTATTTCTCTAGTTTATAATTTGTTTTCCTTTAACATGTATTGGGTTTATTTTTTATTGTTTCTATTTCTTGTCTCAATTTTTAAGTTGAGTACTTAATTCGTTTATATTCTTTTTACAAAGTTATTTACTATAATAGTGTTCTTAATAGTATAAATGTACTTCTGGTTATAGCCTTGGCCACATCTTAAAGTCTGATAATTCAGGTTTTGTTTATGTTGTTAAGTATTATATTGCAGTGTTTCTAAAGAGTGCTTTGAAACTCAGTGATTGGGTTTATTTAAAAAGTGGTTTTCTTGATTTACTGCACCGTGAGCAGAGAATGTGGCCTATAATATATCTGCTTTCAAACCTTTTAAAAAGCTTTTATCATGGCCTAGAACATATCCAGTGTTTGTATATGTTTCATGGACAGTTAAGATCAATATATATTTTCTGTCTGTAGAATTCAGAACTTTACATATCAGCTAATTAACTCAGTCTTATCAATTACGTTGCTCAGAATCATGTGCTATTTAATTTTGGCCGACCCTATATGTCAAAACCCAATAAGGTCATGTGAAAGTCTGTTAGTATAATTACGTTTGTCAATCTGTTTTTATAATCTGTACTTTATGTATTCAGCAACTGTGTAATTTGGTGCATATAATACATACAGCATTGTTATGTCTTTGCCAATTAAATAATATATGTAAAATACCAAGCACAGTGCCAGGCATATAGCAGGCACTCAATAAATGTTGGTTAAAATCTGATTCGGGGGCTTCCCTGGTGGCGCAGTGGTTGAGAGTCTGCCTGCCGATGCAGGGGACACAGGTTTGTGCCCCGGTCCGGGAACATCCCACATGCCGCGGAGCGGCTGGGCCCGTGAGCCATGGCCTCTGAGCCTGCGCGTCCGGAGCCTGTGCTCCGCAACGGGAGAGGAGACAACAGTGAGAGGCCTGCATACCACAAAAAAAAAAAAAAAAAAAAAAAAAAAAAAAAAAATCTGATTCGGAATCCTTTATCAATATAAAATGATTGTCTTTAACCAATTTAATCCCTTGCTTTAAATTTTACCTTGTCTAATAGTGGTTGATATTACCATCCTGCTCTTTTAAACTTCCTGTGTATGTGTATGAATATTAGACTTTTTGAGTCATTTTGTTTTGTTTTTGCAGTACGTGGGCCTCTCACTGCTGTGGCCTCTCCCGTTGAGGAGCACAGGCTCCGGACGCGCAGGCTCAGCGGCCATGGCTCACGGGCCCAGCCGCTCCGCGGCATGTGGGATCCTCCCGGACCGGGGCACAAACCCTTGTCCCCTGCATCGGGCAGGCGGACTCTCAACCACTGCGCCACCAGGGAAGCCCAAGTCATTTTGTTTCAATAGGACTTTCAGTGGCCTCCCTTGAGTTTGCTAGAGAAATCAGGGCAGGAGAAGTATGGGCTTCCCTCTCTCTCCATTCCCTCTTCCCTCTCTCTCTATTCCCTCTTCCCTCTCTCTCTGGATGATTGCACCCAACAAACCAACAACTGGCCCTTAAAAGAAAGAAACAAAAGCCTCAGCTGTTTCATTCATTCGTATTTTATTGGTTGCAAATAGGAGAGTCTCAATTCAAATGAACTCAAGCAAAGAGATTCATTATAGATTCACTTACACCAAAGTTCAGGATGAAATTGGCTTCATTAAGAGCTGGAATGAACTGTTGTGATGACTGAATATGTAAATGAGGATATGTAAGCTGTGTTAAAGATGTTATTTGTAACAGGCTTTGACCAGTGCAGAAAATAATTTAAAATAAAATATCTCTTTTCAGGAATGATATTCTTGGAAATGTTGGGAAAAGATTCCTGGGTCTTGGAAGATAATTACTAGAAATATGCAGGGGAGGTAGTATATCTTTTTTTTTTTTTAATGTATTAAGTATTCCTGGAACAAAAGCAGTGAGTTGGAAGGGGAGGATTGTCCAAGTAAAGAATGGATTTATAAGGAAAAAAATTTAGAGCTGGTTCTCCAGGTCTAAAAATATTGCTGAGGACTTTCCGCTGACCTCCTAGTTACCTTCCTTTTGGGGGTGACCTCCTTCTCCTTCTCCACGTGGCTGGGAGAATAGCTACCACCCCCATCACCTACTTGGCAAGGCGAGGAGGCGGGGGTGGTTTCAGGGCAGATTCTCGTCACACACACCCCACCTCCCGTCGCTGCTTGGCTGCAGGGACCAGAGTCTTGCAATAAAGGATGCAGAGGCCCGAGGCAGGAAGAAGCTGTTGGAGGAGCAGGCGAAGAACGATGCGCAGCTGGGCAAGAGTGGAATGGAGATGCCTGTGGAGACCATCATAGATGTCCAGGCCAAGGGACTGTGATTACCTCAGATGGAGCCAGTAGTCTTAATCACATTTGTGAGATGTTGAAAATTATCACGCTAGTAATATAAATCATATTAGCAGTGGTTATTTATTTGGGCTCTACCACATGCCAGGAACCTCATTTCATGGATGATTAAAGTCTCCACCAGCACCGCTGATGCTCTGTTCTCCACAGAACAGCCAGGCAGATCCCATTAAACCATAATTAAGACCATGTATAATGCACCCACCTCAGCAAGTAAAACCTAAAGTCCTCAAAATAGCCATCCAGCCCCACGCAAACCCGCCTGTGCCCCCATCTCTGATTTTGCTCCCTCCGCTGCTCCAGCTGCTGCTCCAGCTGCACTGGCCTCTTTGCTGTTCCAACAAGCGCATCGTGCACCAGCCTCAGGACCTTTGCACCAGCTCTGGAATGGACCTCTGCCTGGAATGCTCTTCCCCCAGAAGCCCACATGGCTCCCTCAGTCCTACAGGTCTCTGCTCCAACGTCTGCCTCCTTAGGATTTCCTTGACCACCCCCTCTGCAGTTCACTCTCTCATCATCCTTATAGCCTGTATCACCATCTGACAATTACGGATTAATGCAGCTCTTTTCTGGCATCCTCCTACTCGGTGGCTTTCCCCAGAGAAACTTGGTCTTGGGAAGGTTGAATTGGAGAGGGCTGCAGAGATCAGGCTGTGTCTCCCAGGAACCCTCGCTACACCCACACCACCTTGTGGGGCCCCAGCCTCTCGGACCCTGTCCCCCAAATGCTTGAAGCTGCTCTGTCCCCTCCTGGAATGGAGATGTTGGACCCAGGGTAGTATCTGCATATAGTATGTGGGGTACATGGTGGAGGGGGAAATAGGTCAAATAAGTTGGCAAATATGGCAAATTTAAAATCATAGGGAAATAGCTGGGATGCCCAGCCTCTGGTCCATAGCTTGTTATCCTCACCACGAGACTGCCTACTCCGAGGATGGGCAATTCCGGTTGTGAGAGTGGTTTTGGGGTCGGTGGGCTTGCTGCAAGCTGCCACCAGGGAGTGGCTTCAACATCCAGCACCGTGGTGTTCATGGACTGTCCACTTCTCTTCCTCTTGACCTTATCTGTAATCCCTAAATTTCAAAAGCTCCGAAACAAACGTTTTCGATGACTCCTGCTCCAGGGGCTCAGCTCCTTCCGCAGCTGTGGACACTCAGACTCTGACCTGACCTCGCAGGGGCTCCATTCTTTCTGCAGCAGGACGGTCTACAAACTCCTGCTTCCTCTGGGGGCTGCTGACTGCAGCAGGAGGGACTCAGGGCAGACTCACCATACACATCCCTACAGCCCATCCCTGCTCCTGGGCAGGGACAGGAGGTCACAGCCGGCCAACCAGCCTACACGCGAGGCCGGAGCAGCACAGTCCCCCACGAAGTCAAAATCAGCTTGGGAGCCCTTCACCCAGCGAATACAGGCTGGTGCCTGTGGACTCAAGGGGCGCTCGAGCCCTCTGCGCCTGCGCACTGGGACCAGGTAGGCTCTCCCTGAAGTCTTGGTGGGAGGGCTCAGTGGACAGTCCTGTGGCCCTGCCCACAGCCCTGTAGCCCCACCTCACCCAAGGCGGGACTGACCCGCAGCTCTTCAGCTGCTGAGGGCCTGTTTCTTCTGTTCTCTCGGGTCATTGAACTCAGCACCATGTCTGTAAACTAGGTTCCATTTTACTCATTCA